GTTGTTGATTTTTCTTTTCTTGTTTCATATCGTTTGGAAATCGATGTCGTTCGATTGCCGATGATGATGGTCGCGCTAATCCGGGAAATTTCCGATTTGCCATCATCATATTTTGATGATGATGATTGTTTGTTGTTTTATTATTATTACTATTCGATGTACTTGCGTTCGGCATATTCATTATTATTATTAACACTAAATTACACCAGAACGAAAGAAAAAAACTATCAAAAACAAACAAAGACAATGATTTGATGATGATGATGATAATTTATCATCATTATCAATGAATTGAATTCTTTTAAAACAAAAAAAAACAAATTCTGCAAGTATTTCTCTTTGGTATTGGTTGAAAGGAAATTCAATGAAATCAATCAATCAATCACACAAACATTGTCTAATTGTTTTATTTTTTATTTTTGATGGACAAAAAATCAAACACACATTATCATCATCATCATCATCAACATTTGTTTATGACGATTATTATTGTCGTTAATTTTTGTGTTAAAAAAATGTAGTCGTATACGACGAATGAAAAAAAAAAATACAAACACCTACCAAAATTGATATATCGATTAATTGCAAAGAACACAGACAAATTGAGTGTTTACCTTGAAAATTTTTGTCAATAGATGGCAACACTTACAAAATTATTATTTTTCAAAAAAAAGATGAAATTTTTATTTATTTAAATTATATTTAATATTTACAAAATAAAATTTATGAGTTTTCTGTTAAAAATGGCAATTTTGTTGGTGGCGAAAAATTCGTTTTCATTAAAACGGAACCAAATCTTTATCGTTTGGACATTGCATGCCTAATAAAAAGAAAGAGATAAAGTTTTTATTTTTGAAAAAAATCATCATTTTATAAGAAAATAACTTACTATTTTCTCGATATTTTTGTATGGCACGTTCACGTTCATTAGCATCAAAATACCAAACAGTAATGGCAAAACGCATACGTGTTGATGGCATTACTTCATGTGGATTACGACGATCAGACCAAAAAAATATAACACGATTAAATCTAGGTTCAATATCGGCAACAATTCCATCATTCATTTGTGGAAATAATCTTAATACACCACCATCACGCTGGAAAAAATATGGTGAAAATTTTCGATAAAAAAATCAATCAACACGACTTACCTCACGACTATAATCTTTATTTAAATAATAAATACT